TTAAAAGCAACTTCTTCCCTTAGTTAGGTCTGAGATTGGCACAGGAACTGAAAAACAGCAACTACACCGCTACATGCCACTAAAGCCTACACACTGGTCCTTTAAAAGATTAGCTCATAGCTGTCAGGATGATTTGTTGCATCACATACTATAATCAAAAAAATCAAAAATACCCTTTGTATTTCAGAGAAAATGATATATCTCCCTTCCCTGGTGCTTAACATATCATTTTATTCTAATCCTTTTGTGTTGGCAAAGCTGGACTGACAGCTAAAGTCATGCACAATGATGGTCAGCAGATGTTAATGTTTATACTGTAATAATCATAACTAAGGGATCCCAGTGGATGCTCATAAAATGGCATCCGACCAGAGCAATTAGAGTTCTTATTTGGGTGATGGGTAATGGCTCTCAAAGAAAAAGTTGCACTGTGTGTTAAGTACGGCCTCTGTTTTTATCTCTGAAAATGATTTCACATTCAGCTTTCTAAATTGGTCTTGGTTTATTTCCTGTTGATCTGTATGTTAATATCAATAGCTGACAGGAAGAACATTTTAACCCAAGTTGTTACCTAGCAACACAGTTCCAATGATAAATGTTAACACACCATCACTGCAGTGGTGGAAAAAAAATATTCAGACCCTTTCTGCAGTAAAAGTATTATCAGTAAGTAAAAGTACTCATTATGCAGAAGAATGGTCCCACTCAGTGTTTCACTATCATATATGATTATATAAAGGACAGCCTTATTTTCAGCTTTCTGACAATGCATTTTCCAGCTAATCTTTTAATTGTTTTGTTGAAGTAGGATCATTTTATCAACCAATAAAGGAACATTAAAGGACCACTGTGTAGGATTTAGTAGCATCTAGAGCCATAAAACAACATAGCAGACACTGTGGAAGAGGACACACTAAAATGGCTCATTCTAAGGGAATGAAAACACATTATTATTATTATTTTTAAGTGATCATGCACTATAGTTAAATTAAATTATAATCCATTTCTGCCAATATATCTTAAATATTACACACTGAACCTTTTATCTGTCAGTTTATCATGACAATCATATTCAAAATTATATATATCGTTTTCACTGAGAGAAAAGGTATGAAAAACTGTATTTTGAAAAGTTACTAGTAACTTAAGCTGTCAGGTAAGTACTACTAGAAACAAAGGAGAAAATATTCTGGCAAACACATCAAGGTATTTCATGTCAAATGAAGACAAGCAAATGAAGACCATACGCCTCTTATTTAACTGCACTGATTTGTCTGTTTAAAAGCAATTACCCGCTCTGTATTGTTTCCACTATTACAGAGAGGGGCCTCCACCACAGCCCCCACTTGTTTTTCTACTGTGTTTGTGTGCATCCTGTCTTTATTTAAAAATCAATTCTTGTTGGGGTTTTATTATCTGTAATGCTCCCTGCATGTTGTTTGCCGTGTTGCTGTATATTCCATGCTGTTCTGTTCTATTTCTTAGGCAGGGACCATCCCCTAGTAGAGCAATGCCAGATTTGTTTACATTTTCAGTCACATTTTGTATGATTCCTACTGAATTTCAGTTAATGCTGATAAAGCTAACACTATAAAATGCTATAATTTACAGAAGAGTTCCTCTACAAGTTATATGGTGATCTGGAAGTTGTTCATTATTCATCATTAATAATTACTCAGACCCATTAATATTCTTGCTTCTTCACTTTAAAGCCCCAAAAACCTATATCCTTTAATATCTTTCTAACATTAAATATTCAGGGGCAACTATGTTAAAGTTTTGGGAGAAAAAAAATCGAAGATATAAATGAATGAAACGCTGAATAAACTGTCATCTTCAATGCGCTGGTGCCTCGATGTGTTGTTTCATGACATGGCAAAAAGGTAGTTAACTAAAATATATTGTAATGGTATTCAAAACACCTATCTGTTGCAAATAGAGTTAATTATCTTACCCTAATGACAAATTTGCATGAGCAAGAAATGTGCTACATAAAATCTGCATGCTGCGGTGGTAGATCAGAGGTAAGGAAAGCAGATTGGTGATTGTCTCAGTTGATTCCATTAGCAGGGTCTGCTTATCAACTCTGATTTAAAATGAAAAAAATTTACCTACAGAGAGCAAGGACATGGTGTTTGATGTAGTCCTAGCTTTCATCGTGATTAGTGGTCTAGTTTTAGGTTGTCATCTGGACTGTTGGACAGGGAAGATGCATAGTTTGGGGTATATGATTCTATGGTCTCACTAACATAAGGACCACACAATCCACATTTACAACGGGTGTTGAAAATTAGTATCAGATATAAACACATGATATATCAGATTGCTGTTTTCAGTCTCAAGTCTTCATGTTTACTATATCTGTCTCTTTCAAATAATCCATAAATAAAATAAAATAGTTCAATTGGTCAGTGAAAGGTGTACAGGCAGTGCACTTCACCCAACTAGAGTGTGTTGCACTATAGCGAGCACACTAATAAAGAAGTAAAACCTGAATGAACATGAGTGTGCTTCACTGAATTGAGTACACTAATAATAGAAGATTTTGGCCCTTGGCAAAGTTGTTGGGTTGGCAGGGTTGTGGTTCATTGAACTTTAGCAAGAAGGAGCCCCTCATAGGTTGTAGTGCTGTAAGATGTGAGACATACAGGGTTGAATTCATTTCCTGTCAGGACTTAACAGACCAGGCAAAAAAACAAAAAGGCCAAAGCTGCATGTGGTGGGGCACCAGCGTGCAGAAAGTCGTGATGCATTCATGGTGAAACAGTTCCAAACTCTGGTTAAGATTCCATTTCTTTTATCATGTGGAGATTTAAAGTAACTATAAAATACTACTAATTTGAGGCCCTAGAGGACACTTTATCACGTTTTCTCCATTTTAAGGGTACCCATTAGTGTACTTCATCCCACTTTCTCCACTGGAATGGCCACCTAGAGGGAACTTCATCAGTTTTCTTGCAAGTTTAGTCACCACTTTGTCTTGTTTTATCCACCACAGGGGCATCCAAGAGGGCACCTTTGTTGTTGTTGTTTTTTGGTGGGTTTTTTTGCGATGTTATGGGGGTAAAAGGGGGAGGTTCCTCCAGAAAACTGTCATGCTGTACAAGAAGTTATAGTTATATTCAAGAATTATAGAATACAGATGCCTCTTGATGCTGTAAGAAACATACAAATTAACAATGGGGAAATGTTTGACATGGGTGCACTCAAGGGATCAATATCTCAAGAGATCCATACTGTGTTTCCTAAGGCCTATTTTGTTGTGTCTGCTTTTCTGACCTTTGAGATGGTTCTTGCCTGGCTGCCCAGCATTAATCTGACCCGGAGGAGAGTTTCAACACCGAGCCTGTCAGAGAATGAGCTGTGGGTGGTCAGTGCTATATACAGTGGATATAAGTGTGTGTATGCATGCATACCTCTGTGTACTATACGTGTATGTAGTGTAGGGACATTTAGTCCAACTCTGACAGTTACCTTTAGGCATGTAGCAATGGATGGCGAAAGTCCTCAAGGTCATGAATCACAGTGTGCAATCACACCTCCTCACCACAAAAAGTCAACATCCACATGAGTCAACAGACTGGCACTGCAAAAGGTGTGAATCTTAACAAGGTAGGTTTGGTCTGTATAGAAATCTTGTAAACAACACACTAATGTAGTGTGAAGATGACAATATTAGCTTCAAGGATTTGTTTTAGGACAACATTAAATTGCTTGAAAATTTTAACACTAAAAAGATTCTACTCCCTCATTAAACTTGTTTGCTACATAATTAACTTCTATTCTTGGATTTCACTGCATCTACAAATTAGTATTTGAGAATCTCATTGTTTACAGACTCTTCCTATCTCTTCATCATGCATTCATAATCATGTTTTGAGAACAAGTAAATTCTGATAAGGCCTGACTTCACGTCTCCACGGTGCATAAACTTGTTTGATTTGACTTGAGCATTTCTAGAATCAAGTGAGAATTTTATTTACAAATGTTTCATATGTCAGTATTTCAAAAGCTCAGTCAGCCATTAACAGGCTGCCAATGAAAGCTGTTTTTGACTTGGCTGCTCGTAGTTAATGATCTTGTTATTAGTCAGTGGATTTATCACCTGTTATATTAATTTGCAGCCATATAAATGGTTCCTCTTACATTTCATGATGGACGAAAAGAAAAAGAAAACAATGTTTCTACTGTTGCTGTCCTTGTCTGTCCTCATTATATTATCACATTATCATACTAACACTTGAATTTATGTGCTAGAAAATATCAAGTTAAAGTTTTGTTTTTGCTCAGTTCCAGTCCATAGGTGTCATTTCCTACAAATTGCTAAAAAGTCCATTGTCAATAATAATACTTCATCGTTGATATGATATCATATTATGTTATATTATATTATATTATATTATATCATATTATATCATATTATAATAATATAATATAATTAATATAATATATATATTATAGTATTATTGTACATGGAATCGCAACAGAGAGTCTGAATCCCCAGAACCCAGTCAGACCAAATCATGAAGCTTTTATAAGCTTTCATCAAGTACGAAGTGATATTTACAGCTCAAAGATGCCGTCCTCTTCTTTACTGAAAGTAAAGAGGGAAGATCTCTTAATGTGATAAAAGCTTTGACAAAGAATTACAGTGATGTAAAATGAGTAAGGTAGTGCAGGAAATGTCACTTTGTCCTTATAGAGGACAATGAAATACATTTTTGGCAGAAAAGCATTGTTGCACTCAGCTCTATGGATTTAGAGTGACGTCACATTAAATCAAACAGTGCAGTTCTCCTTACATTTGAGGCATTTCAGTGTTTTCTCTTGATTGCAGAAGAGCCTCTTTAACAAATTTAGCAAACAAATTTATCCAGAGAAGACAAATACACCGAACACTGGCTTAATGAAAACAATACTTTTATTTTGGTTATGAATAACTTCTTATTTACACAAATGAATGCTTATTAAAGTTATCTACTGCTGTCTGTATAAATGGATCTTTACCATTACTATAGCTAGAGAGGAGGAGAATGGGATGTTGTGCAGATACAAAATACACAGATATACAGTTACAGTAAAAATGCTATTAGGATAGCCAACATTCATGCACGAGAGCTGTTATCCTTGGGCTTACAGAACTTACTGCACTGAATAAGGCATACAAACTGTCGCTTAAGTTACAAAAAAGCTTATATCTCAAAGTACTAAGTTAAAGGCCACCAGATTTCCTGTTTGCTGAAGTACTTTGACTTAGTACTTCAAAATATCTCATGACCTGGATGACTGAGAATCTTCATAGACACAAAAAAGCCAAGAACAGTAACTATACAGGTGCATTATGCTTCACCACAGTTCTCAATGTCTTTTACAAGGTCAAATGCAAAAAACTTTTAAAAGGAAAAGTACAAAGACAAATGGAAAGCTAAATGGAGGCAGTGAAAGGCAAGAATAAATTAACAGATGATGATGAATAAATGGCGAGGGAAAGAATGGAAACAAAACGAACAATTAGTGAACACAGTCAAAATATGAATAAATTAGGGTGCATGAATAAATGCAATACTGAATGAGAAAACCATTATAAATATGAAGACTTCATTTTGGAAAAGCTTTCATTTTGGAGAAAAAAAGGAGCAGCAGAAATGACTGGAAGTTAATTTTTCCATGTTTCTAAAAAGTAAAAGTACCAGTATTTAGTTGAAAATGTTCTGCCTGCAATATGTTTTAAAACACCTTTAATTTATTTTTTGCTGTTGTTTTTTTTATATAGAGAAAGTGTCATGTTTCCTCATGGATAATATCATAATTAATTAAGTGTTCGAAAAACTGCCAATAGCAAGATGTCGATAATTAACTCTGTATTAAAGGGTCAAAACCAATCAGGGAAATGACATGAATAAATAAATAAATAAATAAATAAATAAATAAAACAACATTCAAGCACAACCATCCATTTTATGTTTTCATCATTTTCTTTCATATGTGTACAGTATGTTCCTCTGCTTAAGAGTCGTCCTCAGTTTTAATGATGTGGAAAAGTGTAACATTAAACAGGACCTGGTGGCCGTTGTTCCAGCCGTAGAGGGCGCGGTCCCTGGCGTTGTAGTCCAACATAGACATGTGGAAGTACTGGTTGTGAAAGGGAATGTCTGTATACTCATATGTGGAGGTTTTAGTGGAGTAAGCATAGTACACCTTGGCGCCGGTCAAGTGGGAGTTAGTGATGTAGAGCGTCCCACAGATCATAAAAGACTCGCCGGCGTTCCTCTTTGAGTATTCTGTGTTCCATGTGTTGAGGATTTGGAGTGTGTCCGGGTTCAGCTGGCTGATCACGATGTTCCCAGCGTTCTGGTTGGTCGCGTACACGGCCCACAGGCCCAGCTCGTCCGCCATCAGGTCAATGTCGGAGAAGCCGCCCCAGGTGTAGGGGTACACGTTGTGGAAGCCTGCTGACTCCAGAGCCCTCTGGGTGACCACGCGGCCCGTCTCAAAGCTGTACCTCACTACGATGTTGCTCTGCATCTTGTTGTAGTACAGAGAGCCGTTGTACACCACGTGGTTGGTTCCAGCCCATTTGAAAGGCAGGTTGTAGGTTCTCGACTCGACTCCTGCCACAAAATCAGCGATGGATTTATACTCTTTTACTATCTTGTTGTTGGTGTAGCTGTCCATGTACCAGACCTGAGGACAAATACAGACAACATTCCCACGATGTTTACTTACAATCCCCTGTGCAATCTGGACTCTTTACCACAAACACTAATATATTTACTCATTTAGTCATCGGTGAAATTATAATCACCTGTAAAACTAAACATTTTACCCATATGATTATATGCCCATGAAAAAACATACAAGAAACAGAGCATTCACTAAAAAAGAGGATGACAGCACACAAACTCCACAACAGGGCATAGAAAAGCAACCAGCAGCCAGACATTTGTTGGAGGCCAAACGTTCAATGATGGACTTTTATTCTCTTTTAATGGTACTGATAAGGTCAGGGGCAGCAGGGTGACTTTAACTACCCTAGGAAACAGAAAGAGAATGTTCTGGATTTATAATCTCAGAGTCCAAATGGGATGAATAAGCATTTAAGTGCTTGTGAGTTGTTTTATGGTTATTTAATAAAAGAGAGTTATTCCATTTGCTTTGTAGGTTTTTATTATTTACTTACAGGTTTAGGATCCGCTGTGGAGTGTTTGACCCCTACTTTACAGAACAGTGTTTTGATAAGTAGGCTCTCTGTTATGCTTGTATGTATTTGTTTGTATCTGCTTTTATTTGTTCATGATCTTTAGGGGGAGATAGCA